ATGCCACTGGGCCTCGCAGGCCCTCCACTTGCATTTCCACAGTAGGATTCGGGGTGAGCGAGACATGTCATGGTGTCAACCTTTCTCGCATAAGCGCTTGTTTGTGTTGCACACGTTCATGAACAGATCTTGTTTTAAACAATCTCCACGTTCTCGTGATCACGGTGTCAATAACCGCACACGACATCCTTCCCGAAGCTCTTGAATTGGTTGGCCGCTACTGCCGCGCAATCACCGGGACTTCGCATCAGCCTCTTCTCCACTACGCCCATGACCCTCTGATGACCGCCCCTGTCCATCCACGGCTTCCCGACTGCAGGCCTCTTGCCCGTCACCCGCAGGCAAAAATAGGCCCGTACCGACGACATCCTGGTCCTACGAGCACGCGGACGATGCGCGCAGGTCAGCGGATGGCACCAGTCCGGACCGTTCAACGACATATTTACAGCCTACTCTTCGATGCCATCCTGGTCAGCACAGATCCTCAGGGTACGAAGCCAACGTAACAATCCTTGCGGGCCGAGCAGCGTGGGCCCCGAGGATGGTCCGCGACGGATGGCCTAGTCACAAGAACAGGCCACCGTCGAGTTCGCGGTGAGGAGGCGCATCCAGCTCGATCCGCATATTTAAGCGCGACTGCCCGGTCAGCGGAGATGGCCTCTGCAAGCTCACCTCGCCACCCGACCATTGGTTCACGTCTCCACCATGGCGGTGGGACATCACAGCTGGATGCGCTTGGCTGTCGCTACCCTTGCACTCTTGGCGTGGGCGAGGACGGTGCTCGCGATTGGTCAACAGTCATGCGTGGCATTCAAGTCCGCGCGCTCGACGTTCCCCATCGTCAACAACCGTCGGGCTACCCCTGTCTTGCTCTCTCCCGATGAGTGGCCTGGCGTGCAACGCGCCGCATCCGACTTCGCGTCAGACATCGAGCAGGTCACCAGCGTGAAGCCCGCCCTGCATAACGCCACCTCTCTGTCCTCGCAAACGGCACCCTCGTTTGGCTCGAGCGCCGTCATTGTTGGTACATTGGGCAAGTCGTCGCTCATCGATGAAGTTGTCAACAGGACGAAGCTGGATGTGTCGTCGATCCAGGGCAAGTGGGAGTCGTTCCTTGCAAAGGAGGTCGCGAACCCTCTCCCGGGGATCAAAAGCGCATACGTGATCATCGGTTCAGACAAACGGGGCACAATCTTCGCCTTGTACGACCACTCAGAGCAGTTCGGTAAGCCCCACTTGAAATACGCATCTAGGGTGTACGCTCACCCTGTGCGTCTGAACAGGCGTTTCACCTTGGTACTGGTGCGTACTGCATGCGTCACTTTGCCGTGAATTCTGCTCAACCCGCATCCTTGCAGGTGGGCAGACGTCCCGACGACCAAACATTCGGATCTCTTTGTGACATCCTCGGGTTGTGCGCACGGTGAGCCGACCGTGCAGTATCGCGCGATCTTCTTCAACGACGAGCAACCTGCGCTGCAAAATTGGGCGATGGAGAAGTTCACGAACGGCACCGGTGCGGCGCTCACAGGGTCACCGTTCAACCACTTCTTCTACACAAAGGTGTGAGTGTGCTCGTCGACGTCCATAGCCATCGCTTGTTGCTGAAAGTGATGAAGGTTTGAGTTGATTCTGCGCATGAGAGGAAACTACCTCTGGCCTGCGCAATGGAGCAGGTACGCTGACATTTTCTTGACCGCCGCGGCTGCGACTTCATAGCTTTCAAATCTATAGTGCTTTCGGCGTTGACGACCCCCAAAATCAGCCAATCGCGGACTGGTACGGTATCGTTATGGGCACGAGCCACGAGGAACCGATGATGCGCTCGATCCCTGTCGAATGGAACCTCTTTGGCACCGGGGCCTGGGACTACAGCTCGAACGCTGAGGCAATCTACAACTTTTGGGTCGAAGGTGCGAAGCGCGGTGAACCGTACGAGGGCTTGTGGACTGTCGGGATGCGTGGCAATGGTTTGTGCACGTCGAAACTAAGAGGATTGAGTTGCTGATAACGGTTTCGACGGTTTCCAGGCGATCGTAAGTTGTATTCACGGACGCCAAGGGGTACGACTGGCGTTCTGATTTCAACACATGACAGTGCCGCTCGAGTCGGAAGGGAACAACATCGCGTTATTGGAGAAGGTCGTGTCCGACCAGCGCCAAATCCTCTCAAACGTGTTCAACACATCCGATGTCACCACCATCCCGCAAGTTTGGACACTTTGTGGGTTCTCGCTTGTTTATGCGTTAGGGAGCTTCGATTACTCAACATTCGTGCGTCCAGACAAGGAAGTCGAGGGATACTACGACGATGGATTACGCGTCCCGGACGATATAATCCTCATGTGGTCGGATGACAAGTGAGCCAATTTTCGCGCTTGTGCGTTTTAGGTTGTCTAAAAACCATGTAGCTGGGGTAACGTGCGGCGCAACCCACTTCCCAGCGAACGGAACAGAACCGGTGGTGCTGGTGTGTACTACCACGTACGTCTTCAGCTCTACTACATGGATATTTTATCTTAATTGCCTCATGCGCAGGTCGATTACGTCGGAGACCCCAGGGACTACAAGTGGATCACAGTAAGTAATAACCTATGCTCCGGCCATGACGTCCCTCACAAGCGACATTCCTCGAATAGAGCAGTCAAATTGAGAAGGTGCAGTGATTCGCAGCCATCCTTGAACAGCATTAACCGCTTCCATCCAGACCTATGAGCAGATGTCCCTCGCAGTGGCACGCGACGCAGTCAAGGTCTGGGTGCTCAACGTCGGCGACATGAAACCTTACGAGCTACACACCGAGTTTTTCCTGAGCCTTGGTTGGGATTCATCCATTTGGACGCCGGAAAACTACCAGAGCTTCGTCGTCCGGTGGGCGCAGCGCGAGTTTGACCTGTCCGAGAAGGACGCGACGGTCGTTGCGGGGCTCATCCACAACGTGACCCGCCACAATATGCGCAGGAAGCCAGAGTTGCTTAACTCAACGACATACAGCCTCGTGAGTTACAGAGAGTACGTCTCGTGCACTGGTTTCGAACAGTACATAATGACATCGCGTCCTCATAGGGCCGAGAGGGTCGTTGACGAGTTGCAAAGCATGGTCGCCACCTCAACACAACTGTACGAATCCCTTCCTTCCGACGCGCAGGGGGCGTTCTTCCAGCTCGTCCACCACCCCATCTTGGCGTCGACCACGCTCACGAGCATGTGGGTCGCGGCTGGGATCAACAACCTCAGGGCGTCGCAGGCTCGGCTCAGTGCGAACGACTACGCGAATCAGGTAGAGAATCTGTTCATGCAAGATGCGCAGTTGGAGTTAGACTACCACACGATCTTGGATGGTGCGTAGTATATCTCGCAGCATGTGAGGTACTTCCTGATATGCATCTTGGCTCAGGAAAATGGTGAGTCTGCCGGCGTCATATATTCACGATTTCCCCTAAGACGGTAGCATAGGGACCACATGATGGATCAGACGCATGTTATGTACTACTACTGGCAGCAACCCCAAACCAACACGTATGTACGTTCTCAGATCACGGGGACCGAACCTGACAAACTGTCACTAGAATGCCTCCCGTCACAAAAGTCCAGCCGTCCAAGCAAGCACTTGCTGGCGCTATGAGGATTGTGCCCGAGGGAAGCATGGGTGCTTGGTAAGTCCCATGGTGATTCAATCCGTGCGGATGGAATGCTAACCGTGTTCAGGCCCGGCGACAACCAGTTCAACTGTGCCGCAGGCTACGGATGCGGGAACCCTGCCCTCACGATCGACCCGTTCGTCCCGGCAGGCAACCGCTTCGTCGATGTAGGCGCAGGAGGCCCGACGCCGTTCACGTTCAAGGTGAAGAGCAACGCTTCGTGGGTCAGGATCTCGCCCGCGAACGGCTCGATCTCCCCTAGCTCCCCAGAGCAGCGGGTCTTCTTGTCCGTCGACTGGAGCAAAGTGTCCGGCGTCGAGACTGCGGCGTTGACCTTCACGGCGACGCCACAGAACCAGTCGCAGATGTCGGTGCCGGTGTCACTCACTGCGAACCATACGCTCGTCCCGGGTGGTTTCAAAGGTGGGCGATCCGGCCCGAACGCCATGGGTCAGACAAGCTCACTGTGCCGATGTCAGGGTTCGTCGAGGGTGATGGCGCTGTGTCGATCGAAGCGGCGCACGCGTCCAGGAACACGAGTGTCCAGGGCATCACTTGGACCGAGCTTCCGGGCCATGGCCGGACGCTGTCCGGTGTCACCCCATGGCCGCGCGGCGGCGACGAACTCAACTTCACCGCCGGCGCCGGTCCCAGCATGTGCGTCATTTGAGTCGCCTAGACTCAGCGACTCCTTGCTCACACCATGAGTCTAGTGAATACGACTTCTTCCTCTTCAACACGCACAACCAGGGCGGCAACGTCACAGTCACCGCCCTGGTGTCGCCTTCATTGAACACGCTGGGGGACGACCGGCCGCTCGGGCTAGCCTTCCAGATCGACGATGGAACGCCGAAGACGAACTACTTCGTGCCTGCGTCCGTGCCCGGGCAGACCCCCGCGCCGTGGGGAGGTAACGACGGCTGGGTCGCGAACAGCATCATCTCCGTCCCGGTGGTCCTCCCCGTCCAGCCCGGGGCGCATACTCTGAAGGTTGGCATCATCTCGAGCCATGAGGCGAACCCGAGGCTGATTTTGAGGGTGCTAGCTATGGATGATTGAACCGACAGTCGTGGTGCAGAAGATCGTCATCGGTACGTTAGGTGCCCCAGCACCAATATGTTGACGCTTTTCAGCTCACGATGCCGTATCTGCCAGACACCGGTGGTGTGCGATCGAGCTACTTGGGTCCGCCCGAGAGCATTCGCGTGTGAGGATGCCGTGCAATGCTTGTCGAGTTAGTGCCGGTGCGTCCAAGTTGTAGACAAGAGTTCGTGGGGCTCATGTCTACAGTGAATGAAAAGCATGTGATGGTCAAACGTCGTTCAACGGTGTGAGGGACCTGTACTGGGCGTCTTGCCAAGCTCTCGTCGTCTAATGGCTATGATATCAGATTCCTACCTTGGCACCCTGGGTGGAGTGATCTGAAGGTTCCGGGTTCGAGTCCCGGCGGGAGTAGTAGGTTGCCTAATTTTCACACTTGGGGAATGCCTTTTTGAGTGCCGTTCACGGACGGATTGATGGAGGACGTTGCAGACGAGGGGCGCGGAAACGTGAGAATCTTGAGGGGCGTTCAGTAGAAAATACCTATACGGAAGGACGTTCCCACCGCTCGTGTGGACTCCGAGGAATTCGGACTCGCGTCTGGGGCGTTCCTGATCTCAACCACCAGCTACCAACCGCCTTCGATCGCTCGTGTTTCCTGGCTGTGGCTCGCTAGGCTTATATCTGTGGACTCTACGAGAAATTTGTCTGCAAGCCTACTGATATGGCTGGAAAGACGCTGAGCAATGGCACGTTGAGCCTCCGATTCATGCAGAACGCCCAAAGGGCGAAGCTGCAGGCTCAAGTTGAACTGGAGCAGGCAAAGATCAAAGATGACGCGGAGTGGTCCGTCCCCCAGGAGGTCCGGGACGCGTGGGGTATTGGTCAAAGCTCTAGCTCGAGGTATGTTGCGCCCCCAAGCAAAACCAAGTCAGTCCCGAATTGACGCGAGCAGTAACGACGCCATACATGAGGCATCCTATGTGCCATTCATTTTCCAGTCGGAGGCGGCGGAGGCGTCGTCCTCAAGCACACAATTGGAGGAGAGGCCGAAGCTGAGAGGACGTCGGACGTTCAACGCGCGAGGGGAAGAGGTGGTACAAGAGGTATGACCGCAATCAATCAGCGCGTTGAACTCGCGGACGACCTTTCCCAATTTCCAGGATAAACCCGCCGAGGATGAGCAGGAGATGGTCCACGAAACCCCCGACGAGAAACCGCGCTCATCAAAACACGAGAAGCGGCCGACGTCGATCTCGGGTTTCAGAGCCCCCATCTCGACACAAAAGGACGCGAAAAAACCGCGGACGAAGACGGCGCAGATGCTCATCCGCGATGACGTCTCTGTGCGCCCACCGGCGTCGATGCAGCCCCCTGGACCTCCCGTGAAGCCAGAAGCGGGTTTCGTCAAGCCCGCGGGCGTGGACGAGCCCGTGCGCGCGGCGCGCAAGCCGCCTTCTGACGGTCGCAAGCGGGTGCGTGATCCAGACGGCACCACCGACCGCCCAACGTCGGAAGGGAAGAAGCGGAAGAAGAAGAAAGACGCAAGTACATGACATGACTCCATGCCGCCCCGGAGCGTTCTGCTAGGAGGTTTCTGCGGCGACACGAGGCTATCAGGACCTCGCATTGTAGTTTGTTCTGATCGGTGCGCCTTGGTGGGGGCAGCGTTGTAACACGTATTGTACGTCATGCCCACAGATGTTTCTTTGATGTGTGGTCGAACTGATATCGACCACAGTAATGATCACCTCACGATGCTCTGAAGTGCATGATAATCGGGTGCGAGACACATGACTATCCGCCCCACGCACAACAGTGGTTGGAGACTCTCTGATACCGCTGCTGAAGGCTTCTCCGTCCCGTGGTAAACGAGACCTGTCATTGTCAAGCCACTGGCGCTCCGTCGACCGAAGCTCTGGCTCTCTGTCACCCTGGACGACACCGTATGGTGTCGGCATTTCGGTGTTTGCTCGACCTCCGCTCAGTGTTACTCATCGCCGACCACGTTTTCAGGGTCTGCATAGCTTGGTTAACCAAGAGAGCTGTTCCCCGCTGTACTGAGCTGCTAGCGACAGCCACCGACATTCGCAATTGGAACGGCAATTATGTGGATAGAAAGCCTCGACATCTGCTGTTGTGTCGGGGATAGCCTTTCTGTCGTGTACTAACGCGCGCCTCCATTCATCTTGCATGGGCCTTGCATATCGTCAGCATACACAGATGGGTCCAATGGCAAGCCGCTTCTCGGAGTCTCGCTGCGCTCTTCCTGTGCATGCTCCGGCCGACCGCTCACACGAACACTTCTACAGCAGCATGTACGCCCATGCGGAGATACGGTCCTGTTTCACGAGACTATCTGGTAACCGTTGGTGATCGGTTTGCTCCCCAGTCGTTGTTCAGGACAAGCAAGGTTCGTCTGTCTAACCGCCGACGTTCTCTCTCAGGATCTGATCCTGCAGGCGGCGTCTTGATCCAAAAACGCACGATTACACCTCCCAGGAGCGTCTTCCCAGCTTCGGTCACCTGGGGGCTGAGTACAGCCGACGCGCGAAGCAGGAAGTCGAAGCGTCGGATCCGTGCGCCCCCAGGCGCCGCGAACTAGCGCACGCCGCACCGCACGCGCCCGCGCGCGACGCTACTTCCTGCGCGGGTTCGCATTCCCTTCGCGAATCCCCTCGCAACGTCCCACGTACCGCGCGGGTGGGGTGGCAGGGCCCCAGGCCCGCGGGCTCATGCTTCAGCCCGCAGCCGTCAGGGCCCCGCGCGCGGCGCGCCCGTGGACCGCGCTCTCTTGAAGTCGCTCCGTCCAATGGGACGGGCCCGCCGCGCGCTCGCGCCGTGCGACTTCGATGCGAAGGCGGGAAGACGATTTGCCTCGTCCGGCCGGTGCCTTGTGCATCCGACGTCAGCGTGGGTTGGCAACGAGGCGGCGACATTAGTCGCCCCAACCGTCCAACGCGAAGGCCCGATCGTCCAGCGCGTCGCTGTGTCGCCGGCTCGGAGGAGCGGGTGTGCACGCGCGCCTTGCAATCGCTCCCAGAGCCGGAGCACAGCGCTCGAGGTCCGCCTGGCGTTGGCAGGGCGAATCCCAGCTCTGCGTCGTCGTAGCGCGGCACGTCCGACTGGAGCGCAGGGGCGCGCGTCCGGTTCCTGAGCCCGGGGTCATACCGTCCAGGACGGTCTGGCGCGGGATGGGCTGTGCGGGTGGGTGCAGAGCTTGAGCTTGAGCTTATAGGGCGGGCGACGCCGCCGCCTTGGACGTTGGCCGCCCGCCACTACATGCCATTGAGTCGCTGCGCGATGCGGACGCGAGCGAGGGCCTCTGTTCTGCGGCGCCGCTGCGAACTCCCGAGGGCGCCTGGGGCGATCCGCAGAAGCCGTGTGGGCCGGTCCAGCGTTGGGCCAAGGTTGGGCGGGGAGGACGGCTGCGAGCGCTGAGTACTTGGTACGGGCACGGGTTGCCGAGTTCGCGATGCGCGGGCTCGGGAGCGAGCGGGAGGAGGATTGCCTTGTTCGCCGGACAGCCGGGACCTGCCGCCGCACCGACGAGCCTTTGCGAGCGCACGGGGAGGGCAGCCAATGGGGGACCGGCGACATGCTGACCGCAACCGCAAGCGCATCCCGAGTCGGGCTGGACGGCTCGGACCTTTGGGCTAAAACGGTTCGTACTCCTACCTGCTCTCGCTCTCTCTCGCGCGCGCGCCCGATGTGCTGACGCGAGCACCGTGCCAGGCTAGCATATCCCATGCAATGCAGAATGCGGGCTAGCACACGCTGTGCGCGCATGGTTCAGTCCGGGTGGCCCGGACTCGAGGCGCATATTCAAAACGCAGATAGCCGTTCTGCATTCGCTCGCTCGCTCAGCAGCCGCGATCTGCCCCTGCCTGCGTGCACATCGCTCGGGCGACGCGCCGCCACTGAACTCTGGAGCTGAGGCCCTGACCAAGCTGGTATGTACACAGATGCCCGTGATCACATGCGTGCGGTCGGCGCCACGCCCGCGGCGGTCAGGTCCTCGCCCGCGCACCCGCGTCCACATGGCTTCCGCCGGGCCCGGGCGCGCCGCTGCTCAGGCCTCAGGCCTCAGGGCCCGAGGCACCCCAGTGCGGCGCGCGGGAGCAGACCACGAACAGTGCTCGTGCTCAGCAGTGCTAGTGCTCGGGCTAGTGCTGTCGGGTAGCAGCAGCACCTCGCTGGACGTGCTGCGCGGCACAGATCGCCTGCGGGGCCGCATCACGTTCTAGTGAATGATCAGCGGCGCGCGCGGCGTTGTGCAGCGGTACTTGTGCACGGGCGAGGGTGGGGGTGTGACATCACGCAAACGTGGGGTGAGTACGCATCTTTCGCGCATCTGCGGACGAGGGCGCTCTGGCGGGCTGGCTGGATGCAGCGTGATGCTCCGACGAGTGTCGTCCGGGATCGGAGCCACCGCGGATCTGTGATAGATGGCCGCCTGGACGGACAGAACAGAACGCGCTTGGGCCTGGGTTGGTTCTGGTGAGTGTTCTGATTCCTATAGAGGAGGGTACCCAACCGTGCATGCGCATTGTACATCTAGGGCGAGGTGACATGACGCCACTACTAGAGGCGTGGCCGCTAGTCCAACACCTGTCGGAAGTTCAACTCCAACGCCTCGGGTGTGCCAGGCAGTCACCGTCATCCGCCTGAACTTGTCAATGGAGTAGGAATATATCGTGCTCGGTTCTGCGGCACGGTAACCTGCGCCTCGTCCTCCCCAGCGCGCCAGCCTCGCCAAGCTGGTGTGCTAAGCCTACCTGAGGTCGCACCACCCCCGGTACGTCGTCCCATCTCCGAGTCTGCCGTCGGCGTACCGCCCTTCCTACCTCATCCGCCTGGAATCCCGACCCCGCGGACTTGAGCACCGAGCACCGTATACGTACACAGCAGCTCGCGAGAACACAGGAAGACAGCGAACGGGGGCGCGGCCGGGCTCACGCGGCGCACCTCTCCCGCGCGCACACTATAGCTATGTTTGTACCGTGCGCATGCCCCCCCCGGTCTTCGTGCTCGTCGCGAACTGCGCCTCGCCGGGCCCGCGCGCCCAGAGCGGCTGCGGCCGCGACCGCACCACACACTGTCAAGTGCAGCTACAGGCGCACCCCGGCTGCGCGGAGGTTCGCGCGCGCGCGCGCGCCCGTCTTCGTCTTCGAAATCCGGCCGCGGATGCGCGCGGCGGCGAGGGCTGGCCAGAACCAGAACTCAGAAGACACGCGAAGGGGGCAGGGGGCGGGGCGGGCTCTCGCGCCCGCCATGTGCATCCATCCACGCAGGTACTATATGCTGCAGGCCCGAGCCCGGCGAGGGCGCTTCCTCGCGCGTCGAGGCTGCCTGGACGCAGGAAGGGCCGGAGGAGCGGGTTGTGCGAGTGGTGCGGCGCGCGTTATGTCCGT